TGAACCCTCGGGCGGGAGCGCCTCCGCGCTGCCCAAGCGGCGCACTATCCAGTGCGCCACTGGGCCGTCCCTAAATTATATTTTTAATAATGCCTTCTAATTATATGTGATCAGGTCTTTCGGCAGTTCTTAGAAACACTTTGATCTGCCTGCCAACCATCCAGGTTGCTCCTACTAAATGCAGGAGGTCACACTCCACCAACATAGGACCCGATCACTGTTTCCCAAACCCACACATGCATTCCAGCCTCTCAGACTCTGCTTCACTCCCCTCCCATTTCTCTCTCCCTGCCCTCCTTCCCCTGCTCCATCAAGCTCTGTACCTCCTTCTCTGCCCACCCCACCCAACCCCGCCACCCAGAAGTCTTTCCTGTTTTCATCTGTCCTCAGCTGAACTGAGAGCTTATGCTCGACCGACCATTCCTCTCTTAGCTCAGTCATATTTCCTCTTTACCATTTACTAGTTGGGGCAGGTTCCTTAACCTCCCAGAGTCTATTTCCTGATCTATTAACAGAGATGGCAATACCCTGTAGAGTTGCTAGGAGGATCAGAGAGATGACCTGCTTGTGGTCTTAGCCTCGTGCCTAGCATATAGTAAGCAATTACACCTGACATATTTTCTCCAAGCCTCAGTTTCTACACATGCAAAAATAAGCTTAATAATCCTGACTTGCTGGGTTTTGGTGTGGATCTGAGATTTTATAAAAAGTAGAAAATTTTATATATATAAAATTGTCCTACTAAGACCATTGGGACAATATTCAGAAACTACTGGTTGACCCTGAACATTAGGTAGTATTTCCTTCCTAAGGGCCTGTTCTCTCATTTTATCAAAGAGGTGTTCCTGGATATTAAATAAATTGAATTTGTATAAATAAAGCTATATGTGAAATGAACCAGGGACATTACATTTAAAGGAAATTCTGTAGTGAATTCTTTCATAAAGAAAAAGTAACCCTCTGATTCATTTTTTTGTAAATATAGGTCCCTTTAATTGCCTAAAATAAGGCAAACTAGATTTCTTTTTTTTTTTTTTTTAGGTTCTAAGAAAGATTGAGCATTTTATTTATTTATTTATTTTTTTATTTTGTCAATATACAATGTAGTTAGTTATTGTGTC